CACACTATTCCTGATACAAGCCAGGATGCCATTGGCCTTCTTGGCCACCTGGGCACAGTGCTGGCTCATGTTCAGCCGGCTGTCGACCAACACCCCAAGGTCCTTTTCCACCAGACAGCTTTCCAGCCACTCCTCCCCAAGCCTGTAGTGTTGCAGGGGGTTGTTGTGACCCAGGTGCAGGACCCGGCACTTGGCCTTGCTGAACTTCATACAGTTGGCCTCAGCCATGATGGGGCAGAGTGCACCCTTGGCAAGTCTGCAGAGGAGACCAAACTGGGAGGTGTGGCTGATGCACTAAGAGGGTTGTGCTCCCATCCAGCAGGACCTCAACAGGCTGGAGAAACGTGCTGACAGGAACCTCATGGAGTTCAATCAGGAGAAGTACAGAGTCCTACACCTGGGGAGGGACAAACTCCAGGCACCAGGACATGCTGGGAGTCACCCAGCTGGAAAGCAGCTTGGCAGAAAAGGACCTGGTGGACACCAGGCTAAACATGAGCCAGCAACGGGCCCTTGCTGCAATGGCAGCCAATGCTACCCTTGGCTGCATTAGGCAGAGCACTGTCAGCAGGTCGAGGGAGGGGATCCTTCCCCTCTACTTGTCACTGTGAGACCACACCTGGAGTGCTGCGTCCAGGCCCAGGCTGCTCACGAAGGAGAGACATGGACATACTGGAGACGGTCCAGTGAAGGGCCACAAAGATTATGAAGGCAACAGAGCATCTGACATACCAGGAAAGGCTGAGATAGCTGGGGCTGTTCTGCCAGGAGAAGAGAAGGCTCTAGGGGATAGTATCAATGTGTATATCTCAATAAGCACCTGACACGAGGAGGCAAAGAGGATGGAGCCAGCCTCTTCTCAGTGGTGCCCAGAGACTGGACAAGGGGCAATGGGCACAAACCAAAACACCGGAGGTCCCCTCTGAACATCAGGAAATGCATTTTTACTGTGAGGGGGATGGAGTACTGGCACAGGTTGCCCAGAGAGGTTATGAGGTCTCCACCCTTGGAGATACTCAAAAGCTCTGTGGACAGCACCTTGGGAAACTGGTTCTAGGTGGCCCTGCTTGAGCGGGGCTGGAGAAGATGACCTCCAGAGGTCCCTTCCAACCTCAATGATTCTGTCTTGTTGTGATTCTGTAATTTCATAACTGGGTTTCTTTAGAATTTATAGGCAAATACAACCTTGCCCTGGAAATCTATTAATTTATATTTTACTGGTTTGCACAAAACCATTGTTTACCTGACATTTCACTTTGCAAATGTTCCACAAATTTCTCTGCCTTGCAGAAGGGCTCCCTAACCTCCACTGTGACCACTGCTGCCATGATCATACGGGAGTGTTTGCTTACAGATCTTACTTTTTAGACTTAGCATGCTTAAATTTAGTATTTAATAAGTTTCTGAAGGAAAGAGAACTATTTAAAATAGAGCAAGAACATTGGTAGTAGTACAGCATGTATCAGTGACCATTACAAGGCAGTTTCTGTCAAGACAGATTTAGGATGTTAGCTGATGGGAAACACAAGACATCAAAGACAGAACAGCAGGGCTTTCTACACACTAAAACAGAAGAGAATGAACTTGGACTACAAAGTACCTGACAGACTGTCTTACATTATATAGACAAATCATTAGCATAAAATCATTATAAACCAATAAAAGGGTCTTACACTGAGAGTGTTCTTCCAGCACTAACTATGCATTCATGGCAACATCTCACCTGCTGCACAAGCTCTGAGACCCTCCTCGAGTCATCTCCAAGTTTAGAGATTGTGGGTTACGATTTTCTGCCCTGATACATTAAGTATTCCTCCCAAGTGGTTATTTCAGAGCTTGCTCTTTACGTTTGTCTCCATTTACCACCCGCACCCAGCAGCTCAGTATATTTTTACATAACCATATGACATGAACCCTTCACAACACACTGTGCTGTCCTTCAGTCATTCTGCTGCATGATGAAGATTCTAATTTCCATCATTTACTGGCACGAAAGCTTTATCCCTGGCACCTCCATCTTACAACTAACGTTTAAGGCTGCAACACCACCCTAGCTATCTGCACTGACTTTTCATGGTGGTTTTTGCTTCATGGTTTGGTGTTTGCTTCTGATTTTTTTATGCTTTTTGGCAAGGTATTTTATTCGGCATGCCCTAATAAGACTTTACATTCAACTGTTCAGTGCTTATATGCTTTTTAGTTCTCCCGATTGCTATACTTCTAGTTTGAGGAATCTTTCACTTCTAGTTAATTCCCTTCTCCTCCTTTCCATGTTTTTACTCAGTGTTTAAGTAAGTGTCTGCTGCTAATTCTGTTAGCTCAAATGATTTTCATTTCACATGATTTATTAATTAGCTTTCTGTCCAAATCACATCTGTTTTGTTTCCTGAAACCTCCCCCTCTTTGCCTTGACTCCAACCAAAACTATGACATGCCTAGTATTGCAAACTTGATCAGAACAAACTTCAAAGTACAGTTTACTCACGTTTCCAAATGACTCTTGAGCTGCTCATACACCAATACGTTGTTACACTGCTTAGCAAAATGCAGCGCACTGTTCTGATGCTTTGACAAAATGTTACAGTCTGCTCCGCTTTCAATCATGAGCCGCACGATATCAGAATTCCCTCTTTTACAAGCCTGTGCAGAAAGTGAGAAGACAGAACAACGACAAATTCCCCTTTAGAACAGAGCATAACACCAAAGTAAGCAGAAGTGCAGAAATGAATTAAAACACAAACTAAGTTACAATTCAGAAAACAAGTTTAAGTATTTTCTCTGCGAATGCTAACACAACTCAAAACTCAGCATCACACTCCATAAATATCTTATCTTTACTGAGGCAACACTACATGTGATCCCACAGAAGCAGCACCACTCAGGATTACCAGGTGGACTTAATTTGAAAAAAATTAAATAAATAGATAAAACAAACCTCAAAGTTCTGTGAAAGGATCTGATCTACTGGTGCTCAGCAACTGTAAACTTTTCTGCAATTCCTTACCTGGGTTTCTGCAGAAGTACTCAGAATGACTAAAGTAACACTTCCAAGTGTCTGTTTCTAAGAATCTCAGTTCAAATGGTACTTCAGGTGTGCAGTAAACAGAATTTGCCCCAAATGTTAAACAATCACTGTTAGCAACTGCCTAAGTGTCCAAGGCTGCTCAATGTTACTTACATCAAGAATTTCAGGGCATGTCAGCTGAAGATTTGCCAGAAGTACATGAAAGTCTAAAGAAAGCTTTACTTTGAAAACACATGCTCTCGGTCGCTTGTTTTCAAAAACTTCACTCGGACAAATTAGGGAAAGGCACCAGAGATAGAAATTTCTATCTTCCTGAGGCTTTTCAGAAGTTAACTTCTGAAATCTGTCTCAGCTCTGAACTTTCATCTGTGCTTTCTATCCATAATCTTCAATAAATAAATTAATCCACCTGGCCCTCCCAAAGAAAAAACTCCCCAAAATCACACGGCACCTCAGAGAAAGGAATTACATGCCAAGGCTTTTTTTCCCCTCTCTCTTTTAAAAAGTATGATCCTACTCCCAAGGTTAAATAAGAATGACTTGATAAACACATCTACATGTTTATCCACACATGGCTAAACTTGTTCCAGTAAGTTACTGGAAATGAAGACCCTATTCTTTGTATCTGCACAGCAAAACAAATACTGGAGTAAGTCACCGCAGGCTGCCAATTAGAAAGTATGTACAGCTGTGCACCAAGTACTAATAAAACCTTTAAAAACAATGAAGGTCAAAACTGAGGTTCATGGAGGCAGCCAAATTATGAAGAGATTTTGGACTGAAGTGGCTGAGGAGGCCACAAGTGTGTTATAATTTTCTTTACAGAAAATGTGAATTTCCCACACTTGTTAAGCCTTGCAGAGGATAGAAGATGAACAATACCACATTGTCTTGGACAAAAAAGCTTTTGTAACCTCTTCTGCATACAAAACAGCCTATATATAAATACAGCAAGCTTATTAGGAAGGGGAACTCTGGTGAAATTATTTGATATAAACAAAAACATATTAACAGGAGGACAGACTGTTTTAAGGGTCTTAGAAAACAAAATTTAAAAAAAATTTTTAAATTTCCTTCGTGATGGGAGGGAGTAACAGTGCAGAACAGGCTGGGGGAAGGAGACTGCAAACTGGTTATTTTATTTCTGTCCTGTGATGAAATGACAAAAGTCAATCACAGCAATATTCAAGTGCCACATTCTCCTTTCTGGAATTTTTCTCTTACTGTTGACAACCACATGATCTCAGTTTTAAGAGCCAAACGATGGAAGAGGATGATGAGCCACATTTAGCACTGTATGCTGATGGCATCTGCATTTACTGTTTAGATATAACAGTACATTAAAAAAAATGGATTAAACCACTGCCTAGAGTAACTAAGAGTAGTATTTGTATTTCAAATACAGTACATAGTCCCTAAATCAGCTCTACAAAAATGCTTTTGTTTTATTAGATTACCAAAAGTATTTACTGTTAAACTGTGTTAGGACAAACATTAACTTTACCTTCATTAAAGCAGTTTCACCGCTGCTCTGCTGCATGTTCACATAAGCCCCAGCTTCCAGAAGAATAGCTACTGTTGTTAGAAAATTCTGAAAAAAAAAACCAGATCACAAGACAAATAAGCAGAAAATATTCTGGTTTTGTCTCGGAATATAAAGTGACATTTATTTAAAATCCATCAGCAAAATGCAGAGCATGAGGCATGACACGCTGTTCTCTCCCATGGCTAATAAAGAGCAATTCAGACTCAGGCAAGTAGACAGTCATGAGTATTTACAATTTTTTTTTTTTTTCTAAATCTTGCAATAGTAAACACCACAGGAAGAAAACAGTACGTTTGCATTAATCACCAAACTGGAATCAAGCTCCCTTTTGGCCTTGTATCTACCGTACATGGGAAAACACACGACCCACCCTGAGCAAAAGAGCGCACCCATGAAACACCCTCTAACTTCCTCGTCTAGTTGGTCTCAGTTTGAGAAGAGCTTGCCCAGTGTCCATCTCCCAACTCTCAAACAGTAAACCCTGCTTAATCAGAGATTTGCTCTTAAAGTCTCCCAAGTGTAGATCCCGTGTAGCCAGAGACCGTAACAAGGAATTCTAACTCAAGAACTTCAGCCCCATGACTGACAAATCCAGGGGTATCTTCTGCCTTCACTTTCCCTCTAGGTAGTCCTATGATATTCCCTATACAGGGTAGGGTTTGTAATCAGAATTTATTTACAATACAGCAACCACAGCCGCTAAAATTACGCGGCTAAGGTCATCCTGCCATATCCTGCTAATTACTTTCTAGGCATCATCCAAGTGAAAAAAATCGGGTACCACTTTTAAACATAAGTAAAAGAGCCAAGAACCACAAACACGACAATAACCAAGCCAACCTTTTCAGCTGCGTATATCAATGCAGTTGTTCCATTTTTCTGTCTACCATTAACTTTAGCTCCCTTCCTGATTAGGACCCGGAGAAGGTCATCGTGCCCACCAGCAGCAGCAAGCATTAGTAGGGTCATTCCATTTGAGTCCTGCAACAAGAATCATTGCCATAATAAAACATAAAAATTTTAAAAAATCAAATACTTTAAGATAAATCAAAGCCGCAAGACAAAAACTGCAAGTGTGTCAACAGGTTTCACAACAATTCCCCTCCCTGGAAGAACTCACACATGCATGGCTGCCAGCTACCAACAAACTATCACCTCCCACTTCTCCTGTCCACAGGCCTCACACTCTGAGCTCCATTATCTGCAAAACATGTACCATCCCGAGGAGCAGAAGAAGGAAAACCAGAATGACTGAGGAAGAAAGGTAGCAAGGTATTTGAGGGTGGGTAAGACAGCAAGACAGTGAAAAGAGAAATCAGCAGCCACTGGGGGAAAAACACAATGGCTCAAGTCAGCTGCTACCACAACGCTAGTTTTGGATTTTATCAGAGTGGAAGTAGGAAGAGCCTTCTGTGGGTGGGCAGTCTCCTCACTCAGTCTTGCATTTGTCATCAGACACTACAGTTCAAAGAACACACGCCTCAGTAGTTCATGTGGCATCTTTTATACTACGCTACAGAAGGCTTAGCATAATGTACAGTTCTCAAAATGTTACATAATGCAGCTACATGGATCACCAGTGAAAATACCGATATCACCTATTTTAATCCTCAAATATGGAACTATAGTAGTATTTAACAGGAAAATAGATTCTTGAAAGAAAAACCAGTAAAGAACGCAGCTGATGAAGAACTGGTAGAAAACTCATTATTCATGGACAGAAGTGGTCCCCGTCTGCCAAACAGAACTACTTTTTTTTTTTTTGCATGTACAGTTGTTTTACATAGTTTAGCCACTGGACTTGATGGGCATCATTATTCCTTATACCATGTAAAGTTCTAAATTTAATATTCAGTTAAATTCAGCGGGCAAGTCTGCTGCAAATCCAACTATGGGGATACTCCCACCAAACTTCTTCACTCCCACCAAACTTTGTTTGTTCTATGGAGGAAATGGAGAACAAATACTGAAGCCTCAAATTCTGTACTCCTTTTTCTCACCTTGTGCGTTTTTCCCAAGGTGAGACAGAAATCTGCTACTAGCAAGAGAGGAAAACTTTACTCCAAATTATATTCCTCATTTGAAGAAAGTGCCATCTTGACTGTCATATAATCTCCACTTTTAACAGCATCCCTCAGGAGAGCTAGAAAATAAATTCAATGCAGTTATAGGATATTTAACTTTGCAACACCAGATAAGAAATGTCCCTTCCTCCCAGCAACTACTCACTACTTGGTATTGGTTCTGTTGAGACATGATTCTCATCCTCTCCATCAAGATGCTTCTGAAAGTCTTCCAGTGTCAGCCATTCTAACTGCATGTCCATACCCAAACTCAAGACTTGTTGCTTGCCATCTATGATTTAATTGATTTTATGGAAGAAAAAACATCAAATAAGTAACTTGTAAATTTCCAAATCATTCACTGCTTGCCGTGGCTTCAATGATCAGCAGCTTCACATACTACTACTTTTCATTCAAATGGGCTCTGGAAGTCAGCATGGAATGGTTCCAAACAATGAAAGTTACGTTACAGATGGACACAAAATGCTTTTACTTGAAACAAACTGGTTATTTGTTGTAGTAAGTTAGGCTGAAGTGACAGAAGATGGTGAACTCTCCACTATTGTAACAGCAGAAACACAGTGAAAAGTTATCGGCGAGTTTCAAAAGAAAACATCATTTCAGCCTCGTGGGGAGACAAGAATTGGAGCACTAAAAGATGCAAGAAGGAATGGAGAAAATATTAACTGCCAGTGCTCAACTTTCCCCTGCATTTGTTTCTACTGCTCACCAGAGTTCTCCATTTGACACACATCCACTACTTCTCGATCACCTTCTGCAGCAATGTAAGTCCATGTGTCTGTTTCGTTTCTTATGTTCCTCCTTTCCTTGTACACCTTGCTGTCTTTTGATTTTAATTCTTCTACGAATTTATATTCTAGCGAAGATTCTTCTCTTTTGCAGTTATTCTCACAATATTCACTTTTTTCTTCTGAAGCTACATTAAACAAGCCCAATGCACTTTTGATGTCCTTAAAGCCTAGAATATTAAGACAGTTACCAAGAGTGACTACTTGAGCCACTAAAGACTATTACATAACAAAGTTTAAGTGAGTGACCAGAGTCCATTTACAGAAAGAGAACAGACCTTTTGCTAAGGTCATCATTGCTGAAGCGTAGAAGCAAGCTTAGCAACATAAGCCAAAAATTGAGGAGAACTAGTTCATCTTCAGCTGCCCTGGCATGTCTGAGTTCTGACTGCTTTCAACATGGTACCATCTTAAGAAATGTAGTTTCTAATTATGCATAAATTACTACTTTGAAAAAATAGTTCAGTATCTGTGATGAACAAAGGACACGCTGTATAAGGAACAATAATTAATCATTCTGTTTTTTATTACTTTTCTTAAGCACTGTAAGCATCTATGCTACCTTCAGTGAAAGATGTTTCTCTAGCAACAGCTATTTGAAGCATCATAGCTCCTCCTGTATCCATTCATGATTATCAAGGGTGGAGTTACCCAGTTCTCCTTGGTTTATCACCATTCCCATTGAGGGAATTTATCCTCAATAAAATCATTCCAAATTTTACTGAGATGAAGAGTAGTAACATTAATACTCGATTACACTACTAGGAATAGAAATACAACCTAGACATTTTTCTTCATGTATCAAATTACCCAGTTCTGGTGGTATTTGAAGGGCTGTACGCTATAACCCATTATCGTGGCTAAAGCAAGAGGCAAGAAGTTTGTTTGATGGGAACTCTATTAGTCTTTCTAAACCTAGAGAGTGTGTATTCATAGTACCATCAGAACACTTCTGGAAATAGCCAATAGTCAGATGAATTCCTCTAAAAAAAGACTACCGCTACATGCCCCAGCAGCACAGTTGACACTATTAAATGAAAAAGGGCAAAAATCTTGACTTGTCTAGAAAAACATTAATAGATTTCTATGTATTTCAATGCTTCACACATGAAAGTACATACAGCATTCTCATGAAGCATATTTTAACAAAGCCATTAAACAGCAAACTTTTGCTTTCTAAAATAGAAGCAGAAATTCTTGTTTCTGGTGCGTGTTATAAAACTATACAATATCCACTTCTTGCAGAAATAAGAAAAGAAAGTCCTGAAGGGCCCTTCCCTTCTCTCTTGCAAGCAGTTAGCACTTACTTTTTAGGCCCTTTTGTTCTCTTCTGCTCTTTTCTTCTTTTTCAGACTCTTTTTTTTGAGATTTTTCTTTTGTTTCAATTTTCTTTACTTCTTTCTCCTGATATTGAGAACACAGATCAAATTAAAGTGGTAGTGAAAAAATGGAAAATAAACTCCTTTCACCACTACAGCGATAGAATACATTTAAAATTAATACTACTGAAACCTGTATATAAGAGAGTTGTGGACATTCTTAAAAAAAAAATTAAACAGGTGAGTCAGGGGTTAGGTCTGTGAAGGTTTTTTCTGTAAGAGAAGAGGTGTTATTTCCAAAATAAAACAACTTCAACTGAGACTTTTACTGCACCCCAGCCATGCAAGGTGGTTTATGGCATGAGGTGCAGATACTTTTCCATTTGTTCCAAATATTGAACTTGAATAGAACGGTTCTCCAATTTGCACATACAGGATGGTATGGCAATAGTAATTTGTGAAAAACAAGGCACTCAGAAAAATCCACCCAAACCCATCCTACCCACACAGAAGACTGAGCTTAGCAATATCCAATATCATGGAAGAAATTTACGGTAGATGTAGATACATAATCAAATTTGCCAAAATCGAACTCAACCGCCTCCACCAAAGGTTGCCTTGCTCCTCCTGTAATCATCTCTCTCTGCTCAGCCAGCAAATTCCAAACTGCAGAGTAGGTGGAACATGGCTCCTCAGCACAGCTTTGTACCAGCCCGACACTAACCTGGTACATGGAATACCACTGGCTTTCTGAAAAACTGCCCCAAAACAAGTCCCCATAAGAACTACAGACTGAATCTATTATCACATGCTACCATTTCTTTTACATAAGAAAAACTTCAATTAAAATAGATGAATTTGGTGTATAATGTGTTAGCAGAGCAGAGACATTTAATCACCTTTCCTGCCCCCCCCCAAGTCAGCTTTTGATCACTGACATGATTAACCAGTAGCACAGACAGCTGTTAAAACCAGCAGATACTCAGCATTCAGGAGGAGACCCGTAACTTATTAAAAGGATTACCAGGTATTTGCTACACAGAGGGGCTGTTAAAATCAGTAATACTGAATTCTATTCCAGATTTCCAATACTGATCAGGTGCACTACGTACACTGCATATTTATTTTTAGAGGAAATTGAATGAAAGTATGGTTTGGCATGCAAACTGACTCCAAACAGAGAATACTGTATTATCAATTGACAGTGCTCTGTAATCAGACCTACACAAGGAAAGACAGGTAGCTGAAACATACGCACTGATTTTACTTGAGAAGAATGATCTGCTTGGGCCAACGATTTAGTGAAAACCTCCAAAACTCTCCACCAAACCCACCCATATAGTAAGTCCACAGTTGCTCTGGAGAATAACCAACCAGTTACAGAAAACATTGTTTAAGCCTCAGACTAAAAAAAGCAAAGAGAAGAATGCCTTCCCTGGTACCCTGGAGCATGAGCATGACAAAGGTGTACAGATAACTTAGTAAGAGTGCTGGCTGAAGAGCCATAAGCAAACCAAGTTTCATCTGCTGTTGATTTCCTCACGCTTGGGGTGACAGAATTTTAGTAATACTGGTAAATAAAACAGAATTCCAAAGAGTTATCTGATTGTCATCACCGATATCTCTCTCTTATGAGCCATAGAACAGTTGGGGTTGGAAGGGACCTTTAAAGGTCATCTAGTCTAACCTCCCCGCAAGGAGCAGGGACATCTTCAACTAGATCAGGTTGCTCAGAACCCCGTCCAACCTGACCCTGAGTATTTCCAGGAACGCTACAGCCTTGAACTACGAGGAAATACTTGAGTAATAAAGGGCTATACCATTTCAGTTCATTAAATAACTTTGAAACTGGGTTATACCTCATAGTAAGTGCTTAACCTTGTTTACAAGAGCTTTCACCACTAAGTTCCTGCAAAAACACTATTTCATGTAGCAATACTCTGAGATTATGCCATGTAATTCTCTACCCTAAAATCAACTTTCTGATGTTTACAGTGGCCTACTCCATCCATACAACAATCTTAAGAGGACCACAGCTGAACCTACAGAAGAAACTTGCCACCATGGAATTATGGCTTCAGAAGAAGTGGGATATGATCCAGTAAGTATCAACGCATTTTGGCTGCAACCCTGTTACAAATCAGAAAGCAGCTTCTCTGAGCAACCAAGGTTTTATGAACTGCCAACTGTATTAGAACAGTCTGAAGTAGCTGAAAGAAATTATATGCTCAGAAACATTCCAGAAATATTGTTTTATTTTTTCCATTATTTCTTTCTTTTACCTTTACCATCCTGCTCTTCTTAAAACACTACTGTATTAAATAAGGAAAAATAAACATCCAGTATTTGCTTAGCTCATTTCTTAGAATAAGTACAGCATTTGTAATTAATATGAAACCACCTCACGAAACCAAGCATTTTCTGTAAGCATCCCAGGAATTCTAACAAGACAAGCCAGCTGCCTAATTATCTGGGAGACCTGGGTTTAGAAGCAACATCACCATTCTCAGGAAGGTGCTAATGCACATAAGGTATAGCAGAGTGGCTGGCTTTCGAGAGAGACCAGGCATGTGTTTCAGCTCAAAAGTGCACTTCATTGTGCAGTGTCAGATGGATAGCTGCTCAAGACTGAATGCCTTACCACACAAGTAGAAAAAAGTCAAACTGAGGCAACTGCTGAAGGTGGGGGGAACAAAGCTAAAAATGACAGCACACGTTGGAGGAACAGCAAATTTCATTCTAAGTACACAGAGAAAACAGGAGAAATTCATACTTTCACATTTAAAGACACCCTCCTCTCCTGAAGTGTCCCTCCTTCACAGTGCTCAAAATCCAGAAATTTTTCAGTCCCTCCTAATACATTGTGCAGTGCCCTTTCTTTCGCTTCATCCACCTCATTAACTTTCCAATTTCTATTTTTCTCTTTGCCATCATGAACAGTGCTACTTTGGATATATCGGTACCTCAAAGATGTTTGATTTAATCCCCAGACCTCACCCCAATGCCTTAACATTACTTACCTCCCCAGCTGAATCAGTGGACTTGCGCCCTCTTTCATCAGGGCTCAATTTCATACCCATCAGCACTGGTGAAGGAGCAGGTGGCACTTTCTCCAACTCTCCTGGTACTATTTTTACTTTTTCTTGACCTTTTTGCCTTTTGTGCATGCTCTTCTTCTCTAAACAGGTATCTTGAGTTTCCACTTTTCTACCTTCCTCCTTGTAATCTTCAGCTTTCTGAATTTTCTTCTTCTTTCTTTTAAACTTAACATCAATACTATCATCTTCATTACTTGCTGATCCATCAAGATGCCTATCAGCAATGGAATCTTTTTCAGCAATTTCTTGTTCCAGTCTCCCTTCTCCAATCATTACCTTTTGCTTATCGTCTTTATTTTCAGAACTTAAGTCTGAATTTTCATTATCAGTTCCTTGAGAAAATACATCATCCAGAGTACTTGATTCTGAGTCAAACTGAACATCTCCATGCTTCTCCTTCCGTGATTTTTTATTTTCTTTAGAATCCTTAGATTTAATTTTTGAATCTTTAACTTCTCCCTTCCTCTTCCTGGTTTCTTTAATATCTTCTTTTCTTTGCTTCTTTGGGTCCCTTGAATCCTCCTTGGTGTCTGAAGTCCTTTTTTTTGGTTTTGAATCTGAAACTAAAGTATCTGAGGAATTTTCACATTCTGTTCTGGGTTTTTCTTTGAGTTTTGCGGGCTTAGACTTTTTCTTCTTCAGATCATCTGGACTTCTATCCTCTCCATCTTTTGACTTCTTCTTTTTCTTCTTTGGTGAAACATCATCTTTTGTTTCACTTTGCCAGTCACTGTCAGATTCTGCTTCAAATACATCATCATTTAGAGACAGTTTCTAAAAGTAGGGAAAAAAAGAGAAGATTTCTTTCCCCATTAAACTGTATCACATCAGTGTAAACTATACAAAAATGGTATTGGTGGCGCCTGGGAAAAGAAATTTCTTTTTAAACACTGCAAACATCATTCCTCATTGCCAAACTGTAGAATTCCTAAGTAGGATTCTAGCTGACTTAAATTAAATTACTAACTGCTTAAATGATAATCAACATATAAACAAGCCAAGTAAACCAAACAGACATCCAGCAACCAGATTTCAGAGCAAAATGAAATCTGAACTGACACAAAAAACCCCCCAATTAACCTGATTTTGTAAAATTTACCTATAGGTTTCCCAGAAGTGGGGTACCAGTTTTCAAAAAAGATTCTTATGCTTGATTTTGAAACTCACTGAGCAGTTAAAAAAAGAAAATAAAAGTCATATGCTGCCTTCTTGCAATTGATTTTTCAGTATTCCTGTCTTACCAAATTTAATGGTTAACATACAAAAATTCACCTACCTGCTACACTAAGCAGGAGGGTGAATTGAGCAGTGCCCAGCTTCAGCAACAAAAAAATACATGAGCAGGGAAAGAGGGTTATTTATGTCATCAAAAATAAACTAAAATGACGATACATCATTTATATAGTCCCATTAAAAATTGAAATAAAGTTTAGATGGACTTACAGCCTACAAGTAAACTTGTCAGCTAACAAAAAATCCCTAACCAGAGAGCAGCAACAATATTCAGTTTCACCCGAAACAAAACACTTTTAGCTCAAAGAGATTCTTTAAGTCTTCTTAATTCCATATCCCAAACATATTCCCTGCCCCCTCCCCTCACTGGCAGAGCCTAAATAGCGAATATGTCTTCAGTGTAAGACACTGGAAGGCAAAACACACCTGGATGTCTTTTTTAACAGGTTTAGGCTTATTGTCCACAATTTTTTTTCTGAATTCAAGCAGCACTTCTTTGCAGTCTTCCAAATGAACCTCTGGTTCCCAGGTATCGTCATCAGAGGTATATCCTTTCCACCGTACTTTGTACAGAATTTTACCCTGTAAGAAAAAAACCAAACATCTAATACAATACAGCAGAGCATTGCATCATTTACCCAATTCTTCAGCATAGCAGTGGATATATAATTTTGTGTATAGAAATTAATATACTGGGAGCTCAATCCAATGTTGACATAAGAATTCCCAGAATTATTTCCATCTGTATCACATACTGAACTAAGCAGATCGTAAAATATTTCAGTAGTTGCAGTGGTTTTATCCAAAATATTTGTAATACCTAAAATCTGTTCAGAATCACTGCTACAATGTACAAATCAAAGTCATTCTACTGAAATTAATTTTCTGACAGGAAATTAATTTTTTTAAAAAGTTTTAATATATCATCTCTAAAAATTTCAAGCTTGAATTGCTTTTCTTTGCCGAAGAAGATGATATAAAACCTTAAAATTTATAATGCATGAAACACCATTCACCTAGTTTTATATTGGAATTTATAACTTATGTTAGGTTTGTAATCAATGTCACTTTTGATAAACCGAAATACCAACAATCAGAAAAAAACCTTGCAAAATCTGAGTGTGAGCATCTCAATGGAGGTAGTTACAAAGATTTCAGTAAAAGATTATGTATGAAAGCCCTAGACCAGTTGTTTCAACAGTGTTTAACGTAATCATAGGATGAAACTGCACCTTTTAGTCTCTATCTTGTTTTTTCACTAGATTAGTAAGTCTTCTACCACTAAAAAAAAAAAAAAAAGCTTTCCAACAAATTATTTCTTGCTTTTCTCCTAAATAAATTCAGTAGTCTGAACCCTTACCTTTCTCAAGATGCACTCTTTTTCTTGCTGAGAGGCAAGACTGATTAGCTTGGACTCAGCATGCTGCTGATCTAGCCTGACAAGGGACAACTCAGGGCCTCCTGCATCAAACTTAACTGAAAAGCAGAGATACATCCTATGAAAGCAATGTGGCCACCTTTATTGATTAAACTTGCAGTCTCTTTAAACAGGCGTATGACAAAAGCTAGCACCAAGCTTAGGAAAATCCTTTTCCCGTATTAAAAAAAGCTAATAATGGATATCAGCCAACATAGCTGTTCCTGAACTTATTTTCTAAATAAAAAAAAAGTATTAGCAAAGGTACTAAGGAAAACACCTTTGGAGAGGCAAAATAATAGTATTTTTTTCTTTCAGAAATAGATTGATAGTGCTCTAAAACATCCTACACTGCTAACCAAGACTGGAGAAGAAAAGCTTCAAAAGAACTGCCATCTGACCTACTATTAAATGTATCAATATCCATAAATTTACCTTTTTGCCTGAGCACCAGTAACCTTTTACCAAGTGTATATATGCCATTAAACTTAACAATCAACTCTACCTACAATCTTCTACATTTTGCTTCACAGACATATAAATAAACAGCTTCTATTCAGACTCATTAGTGTAATGCATCTCCTCTTATAATTTAACTTAACTATACACCCTTGATCCAGGAATTAGTTTTCAAAATCGTGCTCACCTGTCTCTCTTTCTTTCTTCTAATGCCATTACTCATCAAGTAAGTGACTAGTAACTTTCTTATTACAGTCAGAGAATAATTTAGTTTATAAGGGATCTCCAGAACTAACAAGTAAAATGCCCTCTTCAAACCAGGACCAACTAGACCCGGCTGCTCAGAAATCTGCCCAGTCAAATTGTATCTATCCAGATTTCCCTGTGTTCCAGCTTGTGTCCACTGCCTATCTCATCCTTTCACTGTGCACCTCTGAGAAGGATCTAACACTGTCGTCGCTGCACCCTCCCATTAGATAGCTAGAGATACCACTATGATTACCCTGTATTCTTCTCTTCCCAAAGCACAGCAAACCAATTGCTCTCAGTCTCCTGTGCTCCAGCTCCCGAAACTGTCTTCAGAACCCTTCACCCCAGTGTGTCCATGTTTCTTCTGTCCTGGGGAGCTCAGAATTTGACACAGTACTCCAGATGCGTCTCAGCAGTGCTCAGAAGAGAGGAAGAAGCATCTCCTCTGATCTGCTGGCTACACTCTTGGATGCTGTTGGCCTTCTTTGCTGCAAGAACTGCTGACTCCTGTTCAGCTCACTCGTCTGCAGGGACCCCCAACTCCTTTTGCAAAAATGTTTTTCCTAGCCAGCTGGCCTCTCACCTGTCTGGTGGTACAGGGTCACACTATTTCAGATGCAGGACTTCAGTGAGCTGCAGAGTTACCGTTCAACACCCTTGTAACTCAGCTACAAAATGAGTGAGGAGTCCTTTTTTAATTAATTAAGACAGCTGGATAAAATAAAGTCTAATGCAAATTTACAACTATTTGGCTGTTCAATGTCTCTACGTCCAGCATGTAGAGACTGACACAAAAATGCAGCTGAAGTAAAGACAGGAGATTGATCATCATACTAAAGATACATTCACAGCCTTACAATCACCCGTCAACACTATTTTACTCAACGTTGTTATTTCTTTCCTACCACTTACAAATAATGGAACACTTCCAAGCATTTTTATAGTGCTGTAGCTTCTGCGAGAACCAGTGATGGGCTAGAACCAACTCCTATGGAAAGGGCAATGCCACAATTTGCGTTGGAGTCTGTTGTCTTAGTGCAGTATGAAAGGCCTTCTAGGTGTACCAAGAGGAAACATTCCCAGACTGTTATTGCTCGATCTCTTAGGTAGGACACGTCACTGTTTCATTTATCAGCAGGTTTAACTCACCAGCCCAATCCCATCCTAGGAGTGCTGTCTCTCCTGCTACCACTACTACCAGTTCCAGCAACACCAGGACTGCGAATGACAAGAGCTTCTCTGTGCGGTGCTCTCCAGCTCTCCTGCTTCTGCAGCTGTGACACAGCAACACACCGACTGGCCTTGTGCTGTGCTGGACAGTGGCAGACTCTGTATCTGCTCGGATGTTGCATCAGACCTGGGAATCCGCAAGCTAGGAACCACTGGTCTGAAGCAGACCAAGTAAAACATACTCCACTGAACGTAACACACAGCTTTCTTCAGACATTTCAGAAGTTAGGCCTGAGAGTGAGTATCTCTCTTGCCCTGTGCTTCCAAAGCACAGCAGCACGGCCCCCATTTAAGAGCAACAGAAAGGTGACCAGATGCAATTGGAGCCCTGCTACAAAGCCACAGCCAACACATACTGGGTAAGGCACAGGCACACAGTAAAGCTAACTGCACTGACCCGGTCTGGAAACCTCGAGTGCATACAGCTCAGAACCTGCTGCAGAATGGCCTGCTCAGAGGAAGATGACAGCAAGAAGGAGCATAAGACACCTTTTCACTAGCACGTCAATGGCATTTCTAAGAGATGGTACTTGATGTATTGTGGTATTCTTCAGAAGTGTGTGGAGTGGTGCAACTCCCCACGCTGCCCCCAGTATACAGATTTTAAGTTCCATCATTTGGGGGCGGGCGGAAAAAAGGAAAAAGAAGAAATGGAGTGCTCTTGTTTTGAAGCCTGACTTATTATTTCAGCCAACACTTAATTTCATAGAGGCAAATACTGTATTACCTCTAAAGCATAACATTCTTAAGCCATCAAGATTATTTCAGCCAAGATAGAGCCTACTCACAACAGCATCACAAATACATAAGAAATTCTTGATCTGAAGGTTCTCCAACCTAAGGTTTCCAAAACCCTTATGTTTTACACTGAACAGGCAGAATTTTATACTATCATGTACCTGACTGAAACATAAAATGAAAAATAAAAATTAGGTTAAAAAACCCCCTTATTTTCAGACTAAAAAATAGCTGTCTTATTTCCTAAACCTCAAATACAAAAAATAATTTTTAGAAAAACTTCAACCAGTCTAGGCTGCTTCCAAAGAAAGAAGGTATGATACTTCTGTCTAAACAAAGCCAAAATCACTATAGCTAGGGTTTTTTTTTTAACTGGAAGTTATTTTAAGAGGTCTTCATATACTTTATACGCCAGTAAACAGACTCTCACTACACATACTTTGAAACCACCTCCAAGTTCTCTGTTATGTTCGATCCTGTCCATTTCTGCAAGCACTTTACATCAAAACACTACTGCAATCCACCCGTAAGAGCAAGTAGTTTAACAATGCAGACATAAAAAACAACCAACGAACTTAGTGAAGATACCCTAGATTTATTCTCTTTAGTCAAAAAGCTTACTTACAAAATTACGCACAACGTGGCTTAAGTTACAATTACAACGGAGCCACTATTTTTGCACGGTTCTC